GGTGATAACAATCAAACTCTAGCCGGTGGTCAAATCTGTTGGCTGAAAGTTGACAGCGGCTGACGCACGAGGGCCCAACTAAAACATCGCGCAGCAGGCTACTCTGACGCCACCTCGGGTGTTCCTTGTCGTCAAGACACACTTGTCAGGAAGGGTGGTTTTAAATACCAGTGTATTGTGCTAACATTAATTACTCTACGGTGACGCCGACCGGTTCTTACTTGCACTCGATACGGCTGCGATCATGCCTGATGTAGCCGGCCTCGATGATGTCCCGAACTGTACCTCTCCCCGCGTGACGATTTGCAGCAGCAAATCTGGATAGTTAAACCCATTCTCTCCGCCAACGATGGAGACCGAATACCGAAGGCCCAAGAACCACCTCCATGTCTTGACGAACTGTGTCGAGCCAGGTTTTGAACTGACCCCCTCCCCCCCCCCCTCGACGCCTCCACTAGGGTAACGGTGCCGGATCGAGGGCAGTAACAATGAGCTCCTGAGGTGGACGACGAAGAACATGCCCAAACCACCTCAGTCGTCTTTCTTGGATGGCCTGAGTTATCCTTGCGATGTTGTCGCAGCGGGCGCGGACTGTCTCATTTGAGACGAAGTCGGTGAACTTCACTCGAAGGATGGTCCTTAAGCAGTGGTGGTCAAATACGTCCAGTTTTCGCTCGTCCTCCACGCGCAAAGCCCAGCATTCACAACCGTAGAGAAGGACAGATCGGACAGATGTACGGTACACGCGAATCTTAGTGGCGGTGGAGAGGTCACGTCGGATCCATAGGCATTTCCAAAGACTTGAGAAAACCCAGCGGGCAGCATCGATTCAGGAGACAACGTCGTCCTTACTTTGTCCATTAGGCAGCAGCCTCGCCCCGAGGTATTTAAAACTGTCTACTTCTTCAAGTCCACAGCCATAAAATATGTCCGACCGGTTCACCCAAAAGCAGGCCAACTTTCGAGCTGTATTTGCTTATAATGCCGAACAGCTGTGCAGGCAGTATAATCAGCATTGTGCGTGCCCTATGTGCGTGCGAGGTCGAGTCTTTTTTCAAATCACTTCCTATCAAAATGAGAATTAGAGAAACCGCAAAGTGGGTCATAGTCGAATTCCATCTGCGTGGGATCTCATTACCGGTCCTAAATACGGCCACCTGAAAACCACTTCGCCATACACCCAACAGAAGTGCTGGTTGAGGTCGAACGCGTATTTTGCCGTGCTTGACACGACCGCGGGCAGCATGGCTTCCTAGCGCGCTGCGCACGAGCGGCGTCAATCTGAGAATCCTAAAAAGACATTCGGGAAGGGTCGCCGTAGCCTAGCTCGCAGTCCCTGGTAGAACCAAGTTTTCCTGTTATTTTACCGCCTTCTAGGCCACTGATGTTAGCGAAACCTGACAGACGGGCCGTTTGGACGTTTGCGTCTACCGTCCACGTTGCGTCCGCACTTGCCTCCGAGCGTCTTGAAATTGTCATACTGTGGGATCAAGGTGTGTAGGTGAAGAGGGAGTGCGATGGATGCTAGGCAAGTCACTGGCGCTGCGTGCACTCCATGGGGCACTGAAGATGCCGTCGTTCCTGACAGCACATATATGTATATACGGATATATGCGCTTTGGATTGCTGGGCAAGGGAACCAGACACACGCTACCAAACTTTGATATCAGCGCAGTCTTGCCAAAAGTGCATAATCGGACCAGGAGAAGTGAGTCAGATGCGGCGCAACATTTGAATTAGCGTGCAGTGGCTCTTCGGCGAACATAAAATGGGCAGGTGTGTAACTCAAGGGGTGAGAGACTGCGATGGCCCCCTCCTTACGGATAAGATCAACTGATAGTGCAGTGCGCTTCTGGTGAGCTGAGGAACTAGCACGGGGGGGGTGAGATGCTCGGTGGACGTCGCTGTCGTCTGGACTACGCGTTGTCCCCCCCGGGGCCGAACAGGAACTGAGCAGCAAGCGAAGACAAGGTAGCACAAACCTGAAGGCCACCTTCACCACAGAAATACAGTCCTTGTGGATAACGATGGTTGAGTTCCTAGATATTTTGGCAGATTTTGTATAATTCATATTAACCTTACTGTGAAAAACTTGGTGCCTCGGTGGGATCCGAACCCATGACAGCAAGAGGAGGCTTTAGTACAGCCAACGTTCTAACCACTTGATCTACGACGCGAGTTTAATCACATTTGGATCAAAATTACTCACCCAAAACTACTGCAACGTCATGGATCCATCAAATCTGATACAGTAAGTTGACTGCCTAAGCAGGATTTCCTAAGTAATTCACCTAGAATCCACCAGATGACTACCAGACTCACGTAATTCAGAGATGTTTTGGCAGATTTTGAATGATTAATATTGACCCAATTGTGAAAAACTCGGCGCCTCGGTGGGATCCGAACCCACGACAGCAAGAGGAGGCTTTAGTACAGCCAACGCTCTAACCAGCCTCTAAACTCACGTCTTCCGACGGGGCCTCGTAGCTCAGGTGGTTAGAGCATTGGCTGTACTAAAGCCTTACCCTTACTGCGTGGGTTCGAAGCCCACCGAGGCGCCGAGTTCTTCACAGTTGGATCAATATGGATGGTTGAGTTGTTCAGTGGGTATACAACAGGTGTCGGAAGTAAAAGAGAAATGACGTCAAAGAACGAAAGGAGGGCACTGGCAACATACCTCCATTCCGTGATTTGAACTGAGCGCATTGATTGTCTCGTTAGCGCGCTCGTAGTCGTTTTGTTGGATAACTACAAAAGAAAGAACACGAGAGGTGATAAGCCAACACTTGCCCTCCTCCCACACATTCACTTCTAAAACCTACACACGACTCTTAAGAATGTGCGGTCAAAGAAATAAGTCCGAGCGAAGTTGTCCTTAAAAAAACCAAGAAAATAAGCAGTGCAATCGCAAAAAGTAGTCCGACGACAATTCAACCGTCGTTGCCGACGATGTTCACCGCGTGCTCTACAGCACGGTGGCGCAGGGACGGTGACTTGTGCGTGAATTAGCTTATAGTAAGTACTGACTTGCACAACATCTACCGCAGTCTGTCCTCCTCCCCTACCGGGATCTGGTGCCAAGACAGAGTTAAGATGACCGGAGGTGGGGGGGGGGGGAGGCGCAGGTGGCTGGCACGGCCAGACCTGCACCTAGGGAATACAGGGGTTTTAGGAGGCACACGCAGATACACCTGAAGAACGCGTTCGAGATCTCGATTTGTTCCAAGGTCCTCTGAACTCAATGCTTTAACCCAACGAAGACGTTTCAGTATCGGAAGCCTTCAGGATCGGAAAGCGCACTACTGAACCCCCTATCCCACCGCATTCGAGGCCCCTTAAAGTTGCTTTGAGTTGCAAAGTATAGGTTAATCTCAACCTCTCAAGACGTTTTCACTTAAAATATTCCCACCAGGGAGTTTTTTTTAGCCGGAGCGACTAAGGCGTTGGCATTTAATCCAGGACCTCAGACCGAGACAGAGGGGAAAAGAACAAAACCTGGTTATATACAACAACCGCATACTCGAACGGCCGTCACAGTTTATACGGTCTCATCCTGTGCGTATGTCACCACAGCTGATAGTAGACTTGCACGGCATCTACCACACTCTGTCCTCCCCACTCCTCACCTGGAGCCGGCGTCAAGAAGACCGGAGGCGGGGGAGGGCGCAGGGTCGAGCCCGCACCTTGGCGCTCTACTCCATACCCCCTGGTCCGCACAGCAAAAGGTACTCTAGGCGGTCCAGAAAGCGCAGAAAACAAGACTGGCGGAGGGCATTCATTTACGGGTGCCTGCAGAGGCCTCGATTGCTCGGACGACCTCAGACAGAAAGCCGCACGACCGGAACAGCCACTTTAAACACGCGACCAACAAGCGAACACTAACACAGTTGCTCGGACGGGCACAGCGGAGGGGAGATGCCGTGTGGGGTCATCGTGGAGTGACCTCTTGTGCGGGGATATGTATAAGCAACTTTTATATGCAAGCAGAGGGACGTCGGTAAACTACTCATGATAGTAAGAAAAAGTCGAGGCGCAGATCAGAGGACAACGAAGTAAGCACACATCATGGTCCATTTCGTCGACCACTTTTTTCGCAATCAAATAAATGTGCGCGGCCGGAAGTATATTAGATAGCAAACGTGCAGGTATCCAAGGAGAAAAAAGTGCACACACAACGCACTGGTGTTTGTTTTCTTCCTTATCCGGAGGCGGTCGCAAAAACAACAACAGCGAAACGATGCGCTTACTGCCGACACACATGGGGACCAGGCACAAAATGACCAGAGGCACTGAGGAATTCCGGTTAGCGGTATTGACTAAGGTGCTTTGATACCGTCTTTGCATACTATCTTAGAAGCTGAGACTGAACATCTCGCCTAACATGTGATGTGGTAGCCGCTGAAAAGGTTGCTGCGGGGAGGCTGCCCGGTTGGTCCACTTATGCGTACAGGCGTCACAATACCGCTTTCCAGATCGTATCTAAGTAACCTGATTTTTACTTCTTGCCCGGGTCGGCCTGCACAGAAAAAAAACTGGAGGAGTGCAGGATGTGTATCATCAGTCGCTTTCGGAAAAAATTATAGGGCGTTTTATGATTTAAGCCACTGGGTTGATTGTATGGCCGGCATAGCCGGTTTGGCTAAAGTCGATGGACGTACTGGTGTTGTTAAAGAACCTAACCTGAAACCTCCTGTCTAGACGACAATCCGCAAAGACTCTTACCGACTTGGTCACACCAAACGAACGGATTTTCCGGTCTAGGTTATAAGGAGGGGGGGGGGGGAGAACTTACATGAAAATAAGTTTCGGAGAAGTACTTGCACAGAGGCTGAAAGTCGTCCACTAGCCAGTTCCGTCTGAAGGGAGGTCAGGGATGATAGGATTGCATCTCTTCCAGGAATCTATGCAATATGGAGGTTGAATTTCATGAAGAAGTAGTGGTAGATAACGAATAGAGGTGAACAAAATAAATTAATCGCATGGAGCTCCTCAAGACTTCTGAAAACAGATCATCTTTATCCGATCAATTCAGCTTTTAGAAGAAGGGCCGACTAGAGAAGTTCGTGTCGGTCACGTACAATGGATGTGCTGACTCATGAAATGTTAACCGAAATTCTGAAATGCATTTTCAACTCGAAAAGATTACTTAGGTAAGGTTGTGATATTTATCACCGCACAGTTTAATCCCAGAACATTTCAGTTACCTTTGGATGCCGACTTCTGAACGAACTTCTTTCCGACCGCTTGTAAAAATCACGCTGGAAAAAATGACTACATTAGTATAAATTCCTCTTCTGGATTTTCGATGCCCCCATAGATTCGAGTATATTTCCTGGAAAACATGCATAAAATATTCATTCAATTACTCATTTGGCGGAAAATTACGTCTTCTCCAAATTTTATACTTGAATTCGGTTTTAAAGAGTCTAATTATGAGATTTCTCGAGACCGTGAAATGCCCGTTCATAAGACATCGTGTCTCTGAACCTAATGTTGCATGTAAAGTTTACAACATGTCTCATATCCACTGCAAACTTTAATAACCCCATACGGTCTGTTCTTAATAGCGTTTAGGAACGTAATATTTTCCGTACACGAAAAATATATAGCTCGTAATTTGTAAACCCAGAACGCAAGTGTAGGATTCAGAATTATTCGGGGATCGGAAAAGTTTTTTTAAAACCGAATTATACCCCCCCCCTTAAAGTATAAAATTTGCAGAACGTGCAATTTTCTGCCAAATGAAAAAGAGTGAATGCTTTTATACATTTTTTTCTCTGAAATATATTTGAATTTGTGGGGGTACCGAAAATCAATTAGAAGAATTCGTACTACTTAAGTAGCCATTGTTTAGAGTGTAGTTTTTGCAAGCCGTCGGAAAGAGGTTCGTTTAAAAGCCGGCATCCCAAAGTAACTGAAATGTCTCGGGATTATGATGCACAGCAATTAATATTACAACCCTACTGTAGTAATGTTTTGAGTCGAAAACGCATTTCAGAATTTCGGTTGATATCTCGTGAGTTTGCACATCTGCTTTATATTGCCTCTGAAAGGTTCCAACAGTGCGCCATAGAGAAGTGTCGTTGAGCTCCTATAAATCAGAATTGGGGACAATCTTCATTACATGCTGTCTCCAGTCCGTATGAATAATATCGGTAAATTCTACTCGTGTCGGTTAAGATATGGGGTCCAGGGTGGTTCCGATCTCGGACGCTTGACGTATCCGGTTTTTATCAACGATGGCATGATGACTGAAGAGCAACGGTCATCCAAAGAATGTAAGAACACGGTAAACGCAAACACCTAATGATCATAGACAAATGTTGAAGGAAATCCTCAGTCATTTCAACGAATGGTTTGTTACTTGATTCATGAGGTCCAATAAAGAGTAATGAACTATAGTACGGTCAAAAATAAAAAAAATTAGGCGTCAATCGAGAGGTTCATTGGTACTTCCTAGATGAAAGGCAAGTTGTCAAAGATAATAAATAAATGGATTTCGGGGTTGTCACAGCCCCCCCCCGACCAAATGGTAGCTAGCGGGCGGTCCAACATGAAAAGGTCCTTCACGTTTGGATAATTCTACAAAGCTTCGTCCGTTTACAGCGCTCTTGGAAAGTGGCCGCCGATTACTAGAGAAACTAAGAGAGGAATTAAGGTCGTTAATAACTTGACGTCTCTGTTCTACGCATTTTTAATTTGGTTTGCTTAACCTGCTCTCCTTACGTTAAGAAAAATCACGGGATCTCGTTCGGAGGCATTGAATTCGAACAAGAGAACGCTCTGCCCTACGTTTTGATTAGTCGAAGTCCCTAGAAACCTTCGAACAGTCGACGTGAAAGCTTCGTCGAGCCCATGATGAACCTCGATTTACGTAGACTATCCCTTATCGATTTGTCTGGGCTTAAAATTGGCTTCCCAAGCTGATAGGCAGAACGGGAACGTCTAAGCATAATATGGGGGTTTTTATTTCCTCGATAAAAGCCGTTGGGGATAAGGGAGAGGAACCGGAGTATCTCATCCCCCCACTTTGTCGCATTTATTCAGCAAAGTAGATGTACACTATTACCCCTTGCCGTTGCGTTCTCATTTGGTGGCGGGTATCAGTCCCTGTAGCATGAACGATGCTACTGAAGCGGCGTTACTAGCAAATGCGTCGTGACAACAGCTGTTCCAACTTGAAAACAAAATTATGGAGTAGATCAAGTTGCCCGTTGCAACTACACATTTGCAGCGTCTAGGAGGTTGAACTTCCGATCTCCGGGGAAAAGTGGTTCACTCTATGCTATATCAAGTATGAAATGCGAATCAGAGATAAGGGGATGTCAGGTAGCAGTGCAGTGCCCACAGTTTAAGGGCGGAGCAGCCCAGTGCAAAATCCAGCGGATCCTGAGTTCAATCCCGTTTTGGCGACACAAGTTTTCGCGGTTATGTGGATTCCCTATTTTGAATAGCCTGCGGTAATAATGGTGGCTAACTAGTATTTAGAACGATAGTTCGCTACACGCAATGGTATACCCCGTCACACGAAAACGGTTTTTGGTGGTGTTGCACATTACCTTCACATGCCTAAAACCAATAGGAGGCCAGCAGCACTTAGTAAAGATGCTTTAACCAACAGTCTGTAACTGCAGACGTCCATCCGATAGCAGCAGATAGAGAAGGTGCCACTAGTGATTCAACGGACGTCTTGCTTTGGGAATACAGCTAATTGAAATCAGTAGAAGACTTTATGTATTATATGATATTCCGAATCGTAGAAAACAAGTGAGGACAAGGCAATTTAATTGAATATGAAGGGGAGGCGATCTCTGTTTATTGTTGCAACGTTTTGGATTCGCACGTGAGCCCATCATCAAAAAATAAAGTAGCTGTACAGCTCACGTCGGCCAGGCGCAACCTTTATCCGTGCCAGTGATTCGTTTACGTAGCACAGGTGGGGGCACCTGGCAAATCGTTATGTCGCGCAGTCTGCAGTAGACGCGAAACCCAGCCATTCGTCTGGCCTCTGATTCTCACGCATTCGAAATTAAAGTTTCCTCCTGACAAGGACGAGTGGGCAATCACCGAGGACAGTTTATCTTCCCGTCCCGCAGCACGCTCATATTCATGCAGTCTGGTGCGGACCTGTTTGCCGGTTTCAGCAACATATACGACTTGGTCACAGTTGCATTCTATCTGCCAGTTTACACCAGATTTCTGACTGGTAGGTAATGGGTTCTCAGGATGCATGAGCTGTCGGCGGATTGTCGTCTCCGGTCCGTGAGAGACTTCAATCCCAAGTTCGCTTATTAATTTGGCGAATTCCTTAGACACAATGACAACACAAAGCACGGCACGTCAGAACAAAGGTTTCGGTTGCTCCCTCGGATTTTTCTCTCCTGGCTTTTCGCCTGCATTTCTCGACAAAATCGTCAGGACGTCTGTTCGTTGTGGTGCAGTCTATATGCATATGATAGAAATGTGAGTGTTTTCTGGAACCCTCACGGGTTACGGTCACTCTGTTGTCTTCCTCGTAAATAAACTGACAGCGTTAAAAATTACAAAGGTTTATCTTTCACGTAAATAAGAGGGAATTATGATGACCGAATGAGTCCTCTATCGTTAGGAAGTGAAAATCAAAGCCTAGCGCATAAAATAAGCAAAAAGACAAACGGCTCTGAAATTTCTGTAAAGTCCTTTATCAGGTCAGCGAAATTAATAGCCGATCACACAAACATTGCGAAACGGGTGGCAAACGGTAGTTTTGCTGACAGATGAGTTGTAATGTCATAATTTCGATATCCGTTTCTATAGATTTAGGACGAGTTCAAACAGTGGCTTTGCACTCTCAAAATTTAAAAGTGAGCTGATGGTCTTGGGAGATGCCGCTGAAATCGAGAAATACTAGAGCCATATGGGCAGAGCATTGACCCGATGACGAAATCAACTTTCCCTTTGACCCTAAAATAAGTGTACTACCGCCTGCGCACTTAGTATGTCATCTTAGAATGACTCGGTTGTCCGTGTCAATTGACGGACTGCGTGTGTCAGGTTGCAGATGCTGTAACAGCCACCGCTTACAATTCGGTATCCTTAAGCGAGCAAGTTTACGAATAGCGAAGGTGGTGGGAACAGGAATAAATGAGCCAATTGCCTAGCATAAAAGAGCGAAAGACAGACAGCATCCGCTGACCCCCGCTAGGGGGAGAGCCGAAACTGGCTCAGGGAACGAAATTGAAAAACTGCTAAAGCATTCGTATGGTGGTTTGGACTCTGAGTGCGGGAGGCAAACTAAACAGAGTAAACTTACGTCCAAGGAGGGATTGCGAAAGACTCGGCTAATTTGAGTGGTCAGCTGCGTTATTGTGAATGTGGAACCGTCGTCGTAGTGGAGGGGGCCTGCTGGTGGAAGTGCAGTGCTACTGACAGCAGCAATTGGTGGTTGTCCCAAACGAGGCGCGTACATTTGAGAGCAGGAACCACCTACAGTTGACAGTGGCTGCGGTGTAGTCGGCACATCGGAGTTGAGGTTAGATGAGAAGGCGTTCGGCTGCGGAACTAAAGCCGATGGGGCTGCATTGTAATTGGCGGCTGATGAGGAGTGAGACGCAGGTCCGTTGCCATCAATAGAGTGAAAAACCTTGCCCCGGTTCCGTTTGGTGACTTGTGTCCCACTGTTGTTCACGGTCATGGGGAGTTTGGGGGGATCGTTCCAGCCAGCTTATTGAGTGTATATAAATGTATATATAAGTTAGGAAACACAGTCCTAAGGTTAAGCAGAAATAAATATGAACTATGTAAAGTCTGCCAAAACATCTATGAAGAAATAAATAAGGAGAATGAAGGTCATGGGGTGTGGGTCACGTGGTGGTAGTGGCAGCTGGCGTAACGACTGCAGTTCGAGCCTCTTGGAAAACTTAAATCAAGGAGGAATTAGGTAACTCTAGTTCAATTAGGCAAGTCGTTATCAAATTTCTAAGAGCACCTATCAACAATTCAGTCGACTGCGCCAGATGCGTAAACCCGATAACTCCCACGCAAGTGTAATATAAACTGAAGGACGTAGCGCGACAGACAACGTGAATCGGTGTCGCCCAGAGTTTACGAACTTGCCTTCTCAAGACGAACTTTTCGTGGCCTGTGCTCCACGACGCTAGTTGGAGAACTAGCTGGGAGCCCAACATTAGCCCACATATGGGCTATTGACAACGGAATGAAGTATTCAAAGGTGCATAGTCAAAACATGCAAAATCAAAGGGATTTTCTAGGCAAACGAAAAAAAATGTCGGTACTGGCGGACATCCAAATTAACAAGACAGCGAAAGGCGCCCTGGATTTCCGATGTAGGGACCGTTACCCAGGTTAACCAAGTACACACAGAAGTCAGCGGTATCATTGTGTAGACGTCTAAAGTTCTGTGCTATATGTTGTGAAGATTTCCAATAATTACACTGTAAGTGTGAAAAGCATTCCCGATAAATAGTGGACGAGGTGCCTCGTCCACTATCGATCGGGAATGTTTATAGCATAAGCAACTTTATCCAGACTTCGTTAGCGTCAATTGCATAAAAAGTTCAAGTAGTTAATATGTAATTAAAAAAGCAGTTTTACTATCAGAATATACGGTGAATGTCACGAAAACACGTCAGAAATGAGAAAAAATATACCTGAAGCACCTATCATCCTTGACCCCTGTTATGCACAGCCACCAACGTTAAGGTGCGTGTTGTAAAGAGCCCAGACACGGTTTGGAAGTTTCAGTTCCACTCTGGCACAAGACCAAACAGTAATCCATGGATTCCAAAATTATGTAATTTTAGGCACTTAAATATGAGCTTAGACTATCTTATTCTTATTGATAAGACAGAATTTCGTGTTTGGTTTAGATTTTTGAAGGCATAATGTTTCAGGTAAGGTACTTGACTTCTTGGTCAAAGCATTCAAATGTAAAATGTCAGGATCTGATTGGGATGCAGTAATCACTAAACGCTTGGCTCCGTTTGTGAAAAATTCTTCACGGGCCAGGCATTAAAACAGTGAAATTTTTGACAGAAGCCTAGAAACGGGCGGCTAGAGATAAGCCGGTGAGGAGGGGGATGAGCCGCAATAGTTGAGACAGTGCGGTAAACGCGCTAAAGCTTGAAGTAGAGGAAACGTTTAGAACTCGCATTGAGAAAAGGGAATGAGGCTGTGAGTTCGACTTTATTAAACGCAGAAAGACCGTATAAACAAGGTTTTTGAATACGGGCAGGACTGAACTACTGCACCTCTTCTTGAAAATGTATGGATGACACAATTCACAAAAGCGCGCAAACACACTGGTATGGAGTAGTCTGCGAATCAGTTCTTGGAGCAGTCGTGTTACATTATTCATGCTTTCTACTCCAATACAAGTCCCCAACATTTTGGATCCAATTGTCTTTATCGAAGTACAAAAATATCGCTTAAGTAGAACGGACTCGGCGCTGGAACATCCTTGACAGTCGTTTTCAGGGTTTGATAACATACTACAAAAGTACTCCAGTCCAACTCACGTACCCCGCCAGTACGAGTCCGCCTATCCCCACCCGACCTGTGGATAGCACAGACAGTGCTACGCCGATGGTTTCGACCAGTTGGCTCTTAATAATAATAATAATAATTTTATTCAAGGCGCGCGGGAGTCCGTTCATAGCAAGTAAGAATAACTTTTTTATAATTTTTTTTGAACAGGTGTTTAGAATCCATACAATACTTAATTCATAGTTATTAAATAAGTAGTATTTTGCGATAAAAGATGGGTGAGCTGTGAAGAAAACTCCTAAACTATAAACAAAGTGAGTTTGAATGGATTAACATTATAGGAGAAAAATCTGTCGCTCCCGAATGTATAAAAAGCTGGCAGGACCGGCCCGTATGTGGCAATGTATAACGAATTTCAGGAAGGGGTAAGTGGGCTGGTCAGGCAGGAATGGCCTACATGTGGTATTGAGTAAAAGGTCCAAAAATGACATCGTCATGGCAGAATTCATATGCTCGATGAGGGCATTCATATCAAAGTGGCGAATAGAGAATCAGTCTCACGGCCATAGGAACTCAGTTGCGATCGACTACAGTCAGCTGAGTCCAGCCGAGGAGGTGACAAGGGAGATGCGACAAGTCTACTTGTAGATGGCGAATACGGAGGGTTCCGCCAAGAGCGTCCATCGACCGCATTCTGTGAGGGCACCATGCATGGCCAGAAAAATCGGAAAATAACATTTCTGATAAGGAATAATAGGAAGCGATGCGACTCACAAAAGAAGAAAATGTGAACAGATACGGAAGTTTAATGGTAGCGTCCTAAAACACCGTCGGCCTTTTCTCCATGTCATGGAGGAAGTTGTCCGGGAAGGATGAGGAAAATAAAAACTTAATCGAGTCAGTATTCATGTAAAGGCGTATCCTTCTCCTTAAAGTGTGTAGATTATCTGAAGTTCTTATATTTATTGGAAGGTTATTCCAGAGAAAAGTATATCTGGAAGCGAAAATAGAGAGCGCTTAGAGGTGGAGGACGCTGGAGGAGATATAATCAAGGAAGAGTTGCGGAGGTTGGGAACTAGGGGTAAGGAATGAAATCCGAGGAAGATTTGAACTATCATTAATGCGAAAGAGGAGACAGAAGCCTGCTTCTAGTCTCCGAACCCATAAAAGGTTTGGGTTAATTTGCTGACATCTATCTGAGTAGAAGATATTGGGATGTTTCCTATCTAAAAGTTTTTTAGAAAAACGTCTTTGGACATTTTTAATTTTCAAGCGACTGGCCTCGTTCATCAAAAAAAATAATGGGCAATAATACTCGAAAATGGGAAGTACAAACATGCGATAGAGACTTAAATTAATTTAAGGAAGATAGAAATTGTAAGAAATAAAGCCACATATCTGGGCAGCTTTGGCTGTAGTTCCGTCTGCTTGTGGCGAGAGATCAAAATTATTACTGTAGCTTAAACCTAAATCATTGATTGTGGTACATACAGTCATAGGTGTGCCTTGAAAGACCACTGGTTGTGGTAGTCTGTCATGTCCAAAACACACATAGCGACATTTAGTCGGAGAGAATTCCATTAGCCATTTTGAGCTCCAGACTGAGAGAGCAAGCTAGTCAGCATGGATTTGCTCCAGGCAATGAAGGCTAGTAGATTTATTGAAACAATATACACATTTGAGATCATCGGCATAAATAAATGATTGCGAATATTTAACTGCCGTCGAGATATTATTTATGTAAAACTCGAACAAAAGAGGACCTAAAACGATGCCTTGTAGGACACCACATACAATAGGGCTTTCACTGGAAAGTGAAGATCTCACTAAAATCTTTTGTTTACGATTAGACAGGTATGACTTGATAAAGTCTATTAAGGGACTGCAAATTCCCAGAGACTCTAATTTAACCAAGAGTCTTTTATGTGGCACTTTATTAAAGGCTTTACTTAGATCAAAATAAATAACGACAACAGATAGATGGTCATTACGAAGAGAAGTAAGTAGATTGAGAAACGACAGATGACATGTTTCACAAGAGCGATCTGGTAAAAAACCATGCTGGGAAGTGCTAACATCTTGATTGTATGCAGGTATATATGTATATATTTGGAGGGTTAGAGGCAGAACCCTTGATGACCCTATTTATGTACAGTGCTTTCGCAGATTCGTGCTCAAAAAGGAAATCGCAGGCATTTGCAGTGTGATCGATTCACAGTTCAATCGTAATCATAAGGTAGGGCATAAAGTCTTTGCAAATTACTGCGAAGGGTTTTCAAAAAATGGCTGTGCATAGTCATGGTGTAAAAGCCGATTTCTGTCGAAAACTAAACGAGCAAGTTTTCTTTTAAACAAACGAAGTGTGTCAGCCGTCACAATCTTGCTTGGAAGCGAGTTTCACGGTCGGACGACCCGCTGGCTGACTTTGTAGGCATGGTCGCGTAGTTGGTTTGTACGGGCAACCTGAAAGAAGCACTCTGCTCTTAATGAGCAACCCTGTCCGCGGAAAATCCGGAACGTCCAAAGTTGACTGCAGTTTGTCTTCTATATAAATGAAAATGGAAGGGTTTCTCCGAAAGTACTGCACCGATTGCGCTGAAATTCGGATACAACCTTGCCAATGCATAGCGCTGGGTTTTCTTCAGCCTACCTTCATGATTATGCAGATGGTACGCCTGTGATGGGTAAAAAATCGGATATTTTCCGACATAACAACGCCATCTGCTGCGACCACTCGACCCGCATCCACGCGAACACACGTGCGCCCACCAAACCACATGACCGACATTCGCTCAAACGCACGTGCTCCGCCCGACAGCCGCGCCCACCCACCCGGCAGATACTTGAGCATTCTCCCCTCTTCATCTGAGCCGATGCAACATGGGCAACTCAACAAACCACCCACCCTGTAGCGAAAAACAGGCAACTCCTGAACTTCACATAATTGGGCTGAAACCGCTTCCACTGGGATTCTCGGGAGTGACGACTGGATGCGGTTAACAAAGCCCCCTTCCTCCCTCCCCACACAACCCCCGAAATGGGTCCGTCACCCAGTGTCAACTCAGTGTCGTGCAGCCCGGCTTGAGGAAGCCCGGTTGCGGTCGCGGCTACCGGGTTCTGCAGCTTTAGGTCTGCTTCGTTCAACAACAGAATGAACACTTACAGCTGAAAGTGGCTGAAAGGCGCCAGCTGGGAACAGCAGACCAGCGGCAAACATGAATTCGTTCTCAGCATTCACGCTGCACTCTGAAGAACACATTCGTTTGCGTGATGCTGTTGTGAACGACGGTGCGACAACAACGGTTGGAAGACTAACGATTTTTCTATCCAACATATACCGGCAGTCGTGAAATGCAGCTCAATGAACTACTACTCCTACCGACTTATGAATCGACAGAGTGTAAGTAATCACCTTTTTGAAATGCCGTCAACTGTTTTACCACTGCATTGGGGATATGCATGCAAAAAACAAAACAGAATGCCTGCTTTTCATTCGCTTGAATCAGACCAAGTTGAGCTCTGAAGAATATATTCATTTGCATGATGCATTTGTAAATGATGGTAATAGAGATAACGTTGTAAGACTAACGATTTAGTCACGCATATATACAGACTGCTCGCGTCATATGTTCGATTACTCTCAAGGTGCAATTTCTTACGTTTTTCAGTACGGGCGTCCAGACCTACTCATTACATTCACACGCAATACAGCTTGCCGGATATTCATCAGCTTTTACTTCCTGGGCTACCGCCGGTAACTGGGTATGACATCACAGCACGTATTTTCAGGAAGAAACTGCAATCGCTGGTGAACTTCATGGTGAAACACGAGGTGGTTAGGTCTGTGTGCGGCTTGATGTATGAGTTGGAACGGCAAAAGAGGGGACTGCCCCACGCACATGTATTGATCTGGCTCTATAACAAGATCACTTCCAACGAAATCGACGATGGCTTATGCGCTGAATTACTTGACGCCGACGTCGACGCTGATTTGTATGAAGTTGTGGCGAAGAATATTATACATGGACCTTGAGGTGCACTGAATCCCAGTTCTTCCCCCCCACCCCCCGCATGACAGACGGAAAATGCTCTCAGAGATATCCTTGAGTATTCGCATGCAACACAGTTAACGGTAACGACGGAAGTCCCTTATACCGAAGACGATCAGCGGAAAACGGCAG